ATTTTCATGCTTCATCCTAAGAAAGTCGGCGCAAAAACGTGCCACAGAAGTAAATTCTGCAGTTTTCTTAATAAGTATTGTGCTGAAAACGTGAATGTTTGAATATTGTGTGAATTTTGAGGAGACAGACCTTTGACTCTGCTAAGTAGGGCGCTAATGTGACACTATAAGCCCGCTGGCAATGAAGACCTTAGGCATACACAACAAAACTAGGCAATGGGCGGGCCTTCCTAGCGGTGATGTACACCCAAAAACGTCGCCTGGAGGCGGCATTGCGCCGCCATGCTCCACTAACTCCACAGTCTCCAGATCTCGCAATGCTCCACTTTGTTCCACTGCCGAGCTCCTCGTCCACGTCGCAGAGTACATCCACAAGCAACACTGACGTCGTGGAGGCGTTCGGTGCGTGTGAAACATTCGAGTTGTCCGTGAAAAAGAAGAAGAAGATTTCGGTGGCGAGCAGAGAGAACTCGGCCGAGGATACGAAGACTTTTGACGAAAATCTTGTACTGGGAACCTCCACAAAAACACGGCCTTCTACTCTTCCAGGAGTCAATCATCCAACTAAAGATACTCCCGTGGAACGTATCAACGAGAAACATTTTGTGCATCTTGAAGACATCGCTTCAAATTACAATCAACAAACTGCTTCAAGTTATGATCAAAGTTTCATCATGAAAAGTCGTCCAAAAGCTTCGAGACCAAGACGTGATGAAATTTTGTATCCAAGCTTCATGAAGAAAGTTGGTATAATCGCTGACACTTTGGAAGAAGTTACAGAAGAAGAGAAAAAACAGATCGAAACTAGAGGATGTCTTATAGAAATGTGGGAAAGTATCAAAGAATTTTTCACTCCTACAGACAATGATTTGCTGTCACTGTGCGAAGAGACTCACGATAACACGTTATTGTTCTGGCATAAGGGACAGAAAACTCTTGCTACAGTGCCTCGTAACAGCGTAGATTATGTAGTGACATCCATCAGTTCCTTGTACGCTGAAGAATTTGATAAACACCAACCTGAAATGAACCTCGATGGTTTCCCGCAACCCCGCTATTAGACGGGACATTATTTCATTTATGAAGACTGTGATCGGTAGTTAATGAAACTTGAACAGTATTCCTGTAAGGAAAGTATTACAATTTTAAGATCAAGCGGGATGACAATTGCTGTTACTGAAAGATAATTGCCTTAAACTGCAACGAATGAGCTGAATTTGTAGTCTCGTGTTCTGGGCCTTAGATGCCTTGGTGCTCATTAAGTTGCACAAACCGTCATTTCCCATGAAGGAAATTCTGCTCTTAATTTTGAAAAAAAGTTTCGCAAGCAAACACACAGTGAAGAACACACAGAAAATAATCAGTGCGTAGTTTGTCCATCTCTCTTCCGTCGTTCAAGAAGAACGGTACTGAGGGCCGCCGCCATGGAGCTGTACGGTGGTTATGTTTCGTGCGCCCTCAGAACCTCCTTGTCGGTGATCCTTGTTTTGTCGGTTGGGGAGGTGAGTTTCGTAGGAAGGTGCTTTTTTTCACGGACTTTTAATCAATCTGGCTTTTTTGAATTGAATTTGTATGTTCAGGAAAACCCAGGAAAAAATGTCGGGGAATAATATTGTTCCATTGCAATGTTGTTAATCATTCCGATCGCGGTTACAGGAATAATACAGTTTGCAATAGCGGAACTTTTTGGGGTTTGGTTTTGGTCGATAACTTAGCTCTAGGTCAGTAAACGAAGTATAATCTCGTACAGGAGAAAAAACTCAGAGCCACGTTATCAGTGTTGCATTTCCGGATCGTTTGTGGACAATATTCAAGTGTAGCCGCACAATTAAATGCTCGCATACTGAGATCGAAATTTCGCTTTATTCCCATGCTAAAAAGTTCGGCTAGCCTTACTTATTTTGTGAGAATTCCTCATTTCCCACCGTTAATTAGTATATATGCTAGGGTTTGTTTATAAGATCTAATATTAACCGAATTATCATACTTCTAGAATCCGATTCTCTAACTTCAGCCGAAGAATAAGTATTACCAGTAGTCTAAATCAGGGGTTCTGCCGCGGATCTTAAAGGTCCTCATCAGCATCAGTTATCGATTGTCTCACATTATACGTGCCGCCGGTGACTAAATCTGTGTTAAATCAAATCCAATTCAAAGTGTTAAATCCAATCTAGATTCAAAAGATTAATATTTCTGCAGTTATCATTGCCGATTGCCAGTTCTATCAGCCATTCAACTGATTGTCAACTTACCTGCATCAACGTTCAAGTATCTACCATCTTCCTTTAAACCTGTTTCTCTATCCCTTGGTTTGTATGAATGTCGTTTGAATTTCGTTTTATTTATTTCTTTTGCTCTATTAAAGTCATTTATTCAATCTGTTGGGAAGTTGGACTTAGTTTAAGTGTTACAATTCAAATTAATTCATATTCAATCTTTCATGTTATAAATTCATGATTTATTCAAATCAACCTATTCAAACTTTTTTAGCAGTCTTTGCTCAAGAAGGACGTTTCGTTGTGACGTCACTTGCAAAGATCACTAGTTAAATCTTAGTTTTAAGTCTTTACCTAAAATTTCTCAAGCATCAAAACCTTCTACTTTTCTAGCTATTTTTCTCGTCCAACTTCCAACCCCTTAAACTGATTTCCGCTATTTTCCTGTATTATTCGACCTTCAAAAAGTGATCACCACACTGGACATTTAAACCTCAGGTTTGTTTTTTTCTGTACAAATAAATTCACATTTTTATGATTTATTTTGGCTATAATTTGCTACCTCGTAATTTTCGCAAGATTTATAATTCGAATTCATTTCTTTACAGTATACCTTAATCCGATCCCGAGACTGGCTGGCCTTAATTTTTTTGTACGTCACGCATTCGTCACCACTTTCTTTCATCGAGTGACCAACCAGCCATCTTCACCTTCACGTTCCCATATACTGAAGATTGCACTTTTGGATTCGGTGCTCATTGACTGAATATTTTCGCCATTATTATGAAGACGAATCATTCGAATTCAAACTCAAGATTTTGTTTGATAAATTAAAATAAAAGCTTCCTTGATTATTTCTTTACTTTGACACCCTTTCGATTGTGTGAATACCTCTCAATTTTGATCAGTTGTATGTGCATTAAAGGCGCTAGTTATTCATTACTGTCAGTTTACTACTCCGCTTCTCCTTATTCTATATCTACAGAATTCCTAAGTTAATTTTAGATTTTCTGATTTTTAACAATTCGTACGGCTTGGCGCTGCACCAAGTCCATTATTTTATCTAATCTCGAACGTAATTCCAACCGGCTTGCAAAGTTAATTATCTTCTTATTAATGATCTTATATTTCCGGAATTTTTTAATAATTAGGGAAGTGAAGACGAGTTTCCTGCCACTGTTTATCGCTCCGCAAATTTTTCGGTAGCACAAAAACGATATTTTGAATTAAACTGAATGTTACTTGCCTATGAACGCAATAATAAAATTGAGCTTAGAAGTTTATTATTATTCAAGAATTGGCCTGCATAAATAATTTTGCAAAATTATATGCTAGATACACATCAAACACTGCAATAAATTGAACAAATAACAATTGGGAGCGAAAAATAAACTGTAAGAAACATCGAGGCCATCGTTTTGAGGCGAAATTTCACCAATAACGTAAGAAAATTGCACGATTGGAGCCTGCACTACTAATCTGTACCCATACATGTTTACTTGGAGCAGCTAAGCATAAGCTTTCTATACGATGTACGGCCTCCCGATAATTCCGTACTAAACGTAAGTGCTACGAAAAAGTTTGGCAAGCCCTTCGATGTTGGCTTGCGTGCCGTGACCCTCACTTAACTGCAGGCAACGAAAGACTTATTGACACGAGAGTCTATCGACTTCAGGCTTAAGAAACTTTATAGAAGTGGCATTCAAGTCTACGACAATGTCGGTAGAATTATGTCTACGAGCGAGTAATCGACGGACCTTCGGTGGCCACTCACATGCCGCCGGAAAAATTCGGTTGTATATACCCCAGCGTTATCGCAGGCTGGTCGCCAGCATCACGTGGGCATCCGGCAAATGCTCGAAGTTTTTAACCATATATTTTTACTAGAGTTTATCTGATCGTGTCACTACTGATACCGTCAACACCTGCCAGCATGACGTAAGATGTCGTATTGGATGCCGACCTATGACTTGTCAATGGCAATAGTAATAACGTACGTAAATTGCACCGATTGCTGTAGCGTGCACTACTATATAATCTGTAGCCACACGTGTTTACGTTGAGAAACTAAGCATCGGCTATACATACGTTATATGGTTTACCGAGTGGGCCAAAACATATCGTGGGCCAACGGGATAATTTCATCGATCGTGGGCCAACGTGATAATTTCAATATTTTTAATCATACAATTTTAATTTAGAATTTTATTTGATCGTGTCAGTACTGATACCGGCAACACCTACCGGCGTGACGCAAGGTCACTGAAGGCGTTGCATTGGAGGCCGACCAATGACCTGTTAATGGGCACCGATAAACTGGCCCGCATGACTGCGAGTGATCATCGACTGCCTCGCTATCGAGACTCGCACGCCAGTTCGACCTCACGAGTTATCGTAGACTTATTACTTTAAAACCACTGCAGTAGCTAGCGATGGCGCACACAAGCTGTATAAATCAAAGGATATCTCTTTAAACGACTTAACGCACTTTTATGTACGTTTAGGTCACGGTCGTAGTTGTAGATCACCATCTTGTTCCTAAAGAATATATATCGCTTCCTACCACGGCACCCCCGCAATGGACCACAGCTGTGCTTCTTCAACGCAATACCGTTTGATGAAATGTTTTCTTAGAATAGCTTCTCAATAGACCCTTACCATTTTTCAAATTTATCGAAAATTTTTATTTGTGAGCAAACCATAATCTTGGTATTGATCAACTCCCCCCAAACACACCCGCCCTCTTCCTGAATTTAATCTAATTTTGTTCCTTTCCCTCGCCAGTTACCGAACGGGAAGAATGCATGGAGAACAGACGAGAAGAAAAGTCGGACGAGAAATCCGAATCGCAGAATCAAGGTCAGTTAAAATTACAGTTTGGTTGTTCGTGTGTTTTTTGGTAAGTTAACTGTATCGTGGCTAAATGATGAATAGTTACAGGCTATTTAATGCGACAATCAAATTATAATAATTTATTATTACTGAAGTTCTGACCTTCAAATATTTTCCCTATCGTCAGTTGGCTAAGTTATAGCATGTGTATACAAGTATATTAACAGTTTAGTTGTATTCAATTTAAATAATTTACTTATTTAAGAGTAAACAAGAAAATTCATTAATCTAAATGAAAAATCACCGCTAAAGTTGAAGCCAAAATGATACATTTTTTCGACAATTTTTCATTCATTCTATATGAATTTTCAGCAATTTTTAATCATGCATAAAATTGAAAAAGCAAAAATATAAAGGAATGGATGTTAATGTATGAAATGTTTGAATCAGATGAGGTGCCATCGAATTCAAACTTAGGTTCAATGAAACGTTAAGTCAACACGATCAAACTTTAGTCAATATAGTCAGAAGTTCTGTTCTGAGCAGTTGATTTATAATGAATTTAATGCTATGAGAGCATTAATCATGTATTAGTTCGTGCTAATTCATTGTGAATCTTGAATGATTTCCTAGTGTGAATTCCTGAACCCATGATTGCGAGCCTCCTATATTTTTTCTTTGTATTGAAATTCGTTCAATATCATTTTTATATTATATTTAGGCATCCAACTATTGTTTTTACATTACATGTCATAATTCTTGAATGCACTGACATAACATTGAAGTATATACAATGATTGCAATTATCATTTCACGAGATCGTCGTTAATTTTTATTCTCAAACAATTCAAAAATCTTTAAGTAAATCATGCTCAGATCTGATTTATTATCATATTATTTTTCAACCATAAGGCCACAATTACCCAAATTTTTCCACAATATAAAATTGTTTTCAGAGCTTTCATTATCCCTGGGACAACATATATGCACATGAGAATAAAATAATTCCACAAAATATATGTATGTTTAATACTCGTCGAGAATTGTGCAGATTTTTGCAAATAGAATAAGCATTACTTGCAGGAAAAATAATATGATATTGACCCGGTTATTAGGTGGCAGCTGAGGACGATTCGACAGATTCAGACGAGGAGGATGTTAGTGTGAGTTGATGACTGGCGCCACCGCCATACTCGGTGATCTTAGGGCGGGCAACCACCAGCCAACGAGAACCTAAAATATGAACCAAACCCTATAAAATGGATGAATTCTTTATTAAATTGGCACATTCACTTAAATTACTCATCTGAAAGTTTCAAATCGGAGAACTAAAATATGAACCAAATCCTATAAAATGGATGAATTCTTTATTAAATTGGCACGTTCACTTAAATTACTCATCTAAAAGTTTCAAATCGGAGAACTAGAATAAAAAGCAAATCCTAGAAATTGAATGAGTTTAATAATAATGTTAAATTGGCACATTCACCTCAGTTACTCATGCTAAAAGTTCCAACTCGGACAATGCAATAACAACAAATAAATTCCATGTTACGCACAATTCGTTCCTATTTAGAAAAGGAATAAGTTAATTGTAGAAATGGAAAATCATAATAATAATTTGTAAAACTAACAATGAGGTCACGATAATGCAAAATTTGAATGTTAATGATATATTACAAAATTCATCCTCGTTTTCTCGTGTTCAGAAACGATCCTCAACAATTACTGAACATTTTCCACTCTCTTCTAAAATTTTCAGCAGTTGCCAGCATCGATTAATGTGTCGAGTCCTAAAATTTCATTGAAAGTAAATCCTTAATCGACATAAGAAGTCTCAATATTTGTGCTAAACGAATCAGAAAACTTGAGCACCGAGTATGACGGCCGCTACGAGGTTTGGGCACGTATGTGTGTGAGAGGAACTTCAGTGTTCAAAATAACGGTGAAAAAACGGTCTGACCGGCTTTCCAGTGGCCGGCCGCCCCGTGAAAGTAAATCGTTTCGCCGTTTTTTTCTAACTGTGGTACGGGTTTATCATGTTAAATGGGAAAAACGGCGACACTGTGTTTTATTTCACGTGCCGCTGGGACTCTGAAAAGCCTGTACGACTGTTTTAAGGCGCTTTTTCGAACAGTGTTATTCCTTGAAATAAAACTATTAGTACAGTACTGTTTAAACAGCTGCGTTATGAGTGCTGCAGCCTTCCGTTTCTGTTGTTGACTCACTCATATCAAGTGTGAACTATCAAGGAAATATTATTTCTAGTTATAACTGAGCATTGTTGCCTGACCTAACATGTTTGTTTATCGATTCTTGAACTTTTAATTGCATGTACCAAGTATCTTAACTTTTTTTGCACGTGTCCAGTTATTCAGCCGTATCGTTCGGACTCCATTATATATTTAATACGTTGCTAGTGTATCGAAAAGGCAAACGCCGTAGCGAATGCATTTTTAAAGCCTTAGAAGTTTAATACATTTTTATTTATGACATTTAAAACATTTTATCCGTGTCGGTACTCGGTAAAGGTCGTAGAAAAGTATGAAAATATTTATGATTGCACCTAAAATAAATGTCGTAATGGAAAGAGTTGGACTATATTTAATCAAAAATGTATAAAAACTGCGTGCATTAAATAACTATATTCGGAACCTATTTTTCGAAATATTATTCATCATAATTATTTAAAATTATTGTAACTGTTCACTTGATCGATGACTTCATGAAACTCCTCCTTTTACATTTTTCTAGTGTTATTTCCTGCGGACAAATACATATACAGCAACTGTGAAACGATAGATTGGATGTTTTAAAAATATCTCCAGAAGAAAGCGCGAATATCTCACCAGAGTTCAGCTTAAACTTTTCATTTGGAAAAGCAAGTTTCTTTAAACATAAGTTGTAATTCTAATTTGTAGTTTTTTAAATAAAAGAAATACACCGAATGCAGAGTCTTAATAGCTTTGGCGTCGCTCGCAAGAATCGCCACGCACAGTTCACCGTACCATGCCACGTGCAGTTCCAGGGCCTATACTTTCAAAAAAGTTAAGAGATCGTAAGTTCATCAGCCAATCATTGACGGCCTTTCAAGCAAAATTCACCAATAATAGACAAGAAAATAGAGCGTAAGTTCTTACGTTCACTTTGCGAGTTTTGAAAGTATGGCCCCAGGACCTCGTACAGTGACACTCCAGCTAGGGGCCGTTCTATAACAAATATTTATACGAGTTCTTAACTTCATCAACCAATTACTGACGGCTTACCAAGCTAAACCTACCAATCACAGATCAGAAATCGGGCGCTACGTACACTTAGGCGAGTTTGATGGTACGATAGCGTTCATCAGTAATAAATAGCGCTATTCACATCTTGAATAGCGTTCATTAGAGTAGCGTGTGAATTAATTTACGTTAAAAACTTGCACGTTTATTTGATCACTCACTCGTTAGAATGTGCACTATTTTTTGCAGATGCAGATTTTCGTTGGCGCAGATGAAGCTTTTGTTTAGAGTTATTTAAATATTTTTAAGGGGCTTGAGTGAGTTTCTAAATGACAAACTGGATGGGAAGCTCCAGTGAGTTTGGTTAAGCTATTAATCTTCGTGTAATATCGTTTTAATGGTTTTATGTTTCAGTTATTCGTGTATTACTTGCGAGTTACTGCGTTTCAGTATAGTTGATCACAGCAAAATTCTATTAAGAAAGTCTAGCAACATTTTTCAATAGATAAGGCTAACGTTGTCTTTCATTCTAACATTCTACAGAATGTTGATGACTCCATCTCAAAAGATTAATGTGAAAGATAACTGAGTCTCGATAAAAATTTTGGTCCATGCATGGAATATCAACGCAATTAAAATTTAGTTGAACATTTTCAATCTATTTTCCGAAATATGATGCTAATATCATGTCACAAGGAGAATAAAATCAAATCGGGCGAAAAACATTCATGCGAAAATTATAAATTCTTCATCCAAGAAATAAAATTATTAAATTCAAAGTGCATTCAAAACAATGGACGTCACTCCGCGTCATCCTTTTTGTTAGAGACTTAGCTCTGTGAAGCTGATTGGCTCTGCAGTGTCACACTGTAACGCTGTTGACTGCGGCACACTGTTACGCTGTTGACTGCGGCACACTGTAACGCTGTTGACTGCGGCACACTGTAACGCTGTTGACTGCGGCACACTGTAACGCTGTTGACTGCGGCACACTGTATAACGCTGTTGACTGCGACACACTGTAACGCTGTTGACTGCGACACACTGTGTAACGCTGTTGACTGCGACACACTTTAACGCTTCATGCGACACACTGTAACGCTTCATGCGTCAATCTGTAACGCTGCAACATGCGTTTCACCGAAATGCTCTGAGTCACACCTCATGCCCTCGCTCTGCCACACTGCTGTGAAACCATCGATCGCAGCTCAGCTTCAGAGTCACGCAGCCTTCAAAATTATGCATTGTCAATACGCAGTAGACCACGCGCGCAGTACACTGCACGCTCAGTATACTGCGTCACTAGTAAACAATGACAGAAAACGAAGCACAACGTAAAAGTTTACGGCGTAACATCGTGAGCTGCACAATCGTATGCAGTTAACAGAGCGCTCTGTAGAAGCTTACGCAGTTAGCAGTACGAAATATTAAAGCATATACAGTTAATAGTGTACAGCATACACTGCTAAAGCGTACGTTACGCGCATGTTGCACGGAATAGAAGTTAGCATGCCCGCGTTCCTCCAATTTCCTTGAAGCGTGAGTTATATATCATGATGTCATCCAGGCTCCAGCACACGTGATCAAGAAATTTCGTGGAGGTTCGAGACAAATAAATATCGTTCCATTTTCCAGCCTTCGTGGTCCAGCAATTCAGTGGAGGCCTGAGCTAAATTTCGTGCCGTGGTCCAGACTTCGTGACAACAACGATCACAGACCAAAGTGATAGTTGAGGCCATAACTATAGCGATGGTGTCACTTAAATACTTCCACAAATTTTATCAAGAAGAATCACGCGGATACTAACTTCCATTGATGAGTTCAGTGCAAGATCATTTAATAAAAAAACTACAATCGTACTCTCTCAATCAGACAACAACAGAGGCATAGCTTTGGTGTCCCAATTTTCTGTATGGGACAACGTACAAAGATGCTTGCGCTCTATGGTGATAGATAACCCTCGATACGCAACAACTTCAACACGTCTGGGCCTTCTTCCTTTAATGCAGAACCGCTAATATTCAGATTTTCATTAGCTAAATATTAATTACAACTGTTTTAACCACTAATATTTCAATATTTCTTAGAATGGAGTGTCGCAGCCCATGACTCAATCGAACAAAAGCACCAACCCGAACAACAAACAAGGCGGGGTGGTGAATATTTTACTCTACCTGGGCTTCTTGTTTATCTCTGTAGGTGAGTAGCGAGCTCAACACATGCTCTTTATATGTTCTGCAACATCTAAATAACATAAACCACCATTTTTCATAACATATAACATGAACTTTATTCTAAATTAGTTACCCAACGTATATAAATCATGTAATATTTGTAATTATTTGAAGATCATGCACTAATTACGTTCCTAACACGTCCCTAACACGTTCCTGACTTGTTCCTGACACGTTCCTAACACGTTTCTGACACGTTCGTGACATGTTCCTAACACATTCCTAACAGGCTCCTAACACGTTCCTATCACGTTCCTAACACGTTCTTAACAGGTTTCTAATACATTTCTAATACGTTCCTAACATGTTCCTAACACGTTCCTAACACGTTCCTAACACGTTCCTAACACGTTCTTAACACGTTTCTAATACATTTCTAATATCGTTCCTAACACGTTCCTAACACGTTCCTAACACGTTCCTAACACGTTCCTAAGACGTTCCTAACACGTTCCTAACACGTTCCGATCACGCAGGCCTCATCCTGACGCTGGTCGGTCAGGGCCAGCGCGGCTTCAAGTCTGAGGAGCTCAAGCTGATCGGACCGACGCTCATCATCAGCGGCGTCGTATTCAGCTTGTTGCGCGTACTCTTCTGCTCGTGCAACACGTGCAACAAGTGGGTGGTGCTTGCAACACGTGCAACAAGTGGGTGGTGCTTGCAACACGTGCAACAAGTGGGTGGTGCTTGCAACACGTGCAACAAGTGGGTGATGCTTGCAACACGTGCAACAAGTGGGTGGTGCTTGCAACACGTGCAACAAGTGGGTGGTGCTTGCAACAAGTGGGTGGTGACTGCAACACGTCATAGCTTGTCACACGTGGTTATGCTTGCCACACCTGGCCGAGCTAGTCACATGTGACGAAGCTTGCCATACGTGAAGAACTTTGTCACACTCGAAGGAGCTTGTCACACGCGAGTATGACTCCTACAGTTTATCCTCTTGACTTAATTTGCACGCAGACAATCTTGTAATACTTTAATCGTTTTCAATACTTATAAGCTTAGTGGTTGTCTCGTTGAGAAGCTAAGGGTCTACTTTCTTGATAAACACTATTAAAGTTTCTCCACAAACACACACGCTAATTATGAGTTTGTAGTAAATTAAATATTGAATATTGCAGACCCAAACCTTCTGACGAGAAGACGCTCCTCTCGCCTTCCTCCGACACCTTGGACGGCGCCGGTACCAGCAACCCGGCCTTCCAGGTAGTCCAGAAGTCCAGTGTATTTATGATGGTTCATTGCTCGACGTGTCTATACCTGGATCAAAGCATGCATGATTCGAAGTGTCCCTTTCTGATTCACTTCAGTGTTCGACGTATCCATTTCTGACATAAACTTTTCGACGGGTCATTTTAGGTTCACTGCTAGATTTGACGTGTCTATTTCTGGCTCAATGCAGGATTCGAAGTGTCTATTTCTGTCACTAAATTTTTCGACGTGTTCAATTTTGGTTCACCGCAGGATTCGACGTGTCCATTTCTGGCACTAAATTTTTCGAAGTGTCTATTTCTGGTTCACCGCAGGATTCAACGGTCCATTTCTGGCACAAAATTTTTCGTCGTGTCCATTTCTGGCCCTAAACTTTTCGATTGTTTTATTTCTGTTTCACTACATGATTCGACGTGTCCATCTTTGGCAGACTGCATGATATGACGAGTTAATTTCTAGCTCTCTAGTTGTTTTGTTTGTTTCAAGAACAAAATTTTGCACAAACAACTAATATTATAAATTAGATTCGATGATTTTCATTGTTTCAAACTACATACTGGAAAATTACTACAATATTGACTATTTTCCGTAAAAAAATGCCGGAAACTGCCAGAATTGACAACAGAAGTCGACATATTTTACTTTATATTTACATAGTTCAGTACAATGCTTTCTCGTGATGGCTTCCTTGCGTTGAAGTCTGCACTGCGTATTATGTTACTATTTCAATCCACATTTTATTTAGATTTTTATTTGTTGGAATTCTTCCGTTATCGTCTCCTAAATATTCTTGGAAATATTCAGTCACCTGGGAAGTTTAACCTAAATATTGTAAATCATTTCCACTTGAACAAACGTACAATATGAACTAGTTGCGAAATGTTTACCTTTAGTTCATGAGTAGCTACGAAAATTTGGTTTAAATGCCACGGAAGGGAATTTCTGTTAGATAATTTTTTCTCTAGCCTTTGGCACCAAAGCCCCTGTCCCCTCTTGTATTGATGGAGTCACTGAGCTCAGATTTTTATGAATATTTTTAACGCAAATGGTTTTGTTAGCTAATGGCTTATGTGCGCTCTTGACAAGCTTAATTTACTGTTTAGTGTTTGATTTAATTTACTGTATAATATCAATTTTATGTTCCACATCCTCCTTTCTGTAGTGATATGGTCTTATCCCTACTTAAAACTTGACTTGATTCGGAACCAAATATTTACGGTTTCTTTTTAAATTTTAATTTAATGTTCTGCTCATTTAAATTTACTCATAAAGTTTCATCCCTGCTTAAAACTTGCCTTGACTCAGAACCAAATATCTACGGTTTCTGTTTAAACTTAAATTTAATTTTTTTGCTCATTTAAATTCACTCTTCTACCACCAGTCCTCTCCATGGGATGAGGTCTCTGCTCAAAACGTACGATTTTGAACCAAATATCCACGGTTTCCGTTTAAATTAAAATTTAATTTTCTGCTCATTTAAATTTACTCTTCCACAACCCGCCCTCTCCATGTGATGATGTCTCTGCCCAAACGTCCGATTTTGAACCAAATATCCACGGGCTTTGCTCTCCTGTTTCCAGGGCGATCACGATGTCCCAAGACTCCCCCCGCTGAGACATGTCCAGGGAGCGCCGCGCATAGTCGGGCCTTCCAACGACAGGTTATCGCCCCTCGAACCTTCTCTGTCCACCGACCCAGCGTCCGCCAGAGACCCGGCGCCACCTTCGCAGCTGGAGGACGAAGTGGAGGAGGACATGGCGCTAGGCCTCGACGTAAGAATTTAAAAAATTTTTTATATTATTTGTTAAAGTTTGTCTTTGTGCGTGTGAAATTTGGCACCCCAAATATGTAATGGATATTTAGGTGCGTATCCAGTACTAAACTTATCGCGTCCGGATACCTGAGAATTTATTCTTAGTGGTAGAATAGAAAAATATTGAAGGAAAATGAAATTTGGAATGCATCAAAATTTAAAATTTTATTTTAGAATTGCATTTATAAATTAATTTTTGGAAGCAGGAATTTTTTCGTACTTCATAAGGAGACTCAAATGGAAGTTCGTACTGTGTAAAAGTTGGATTTGGACGGTTCTCTATATTAATTATAATGTATTCGATTTGTTATTATTATGGGATTGGGCATAGCGGGGGTCTAAAGTTACAAGGGCTATTGAGTCCGGGCAACGCCTGGCTAACCAGCTAGCATGGGCATGGATTGTGATAAGGGTATGGGTATTGATATGTAGCTATCGATATTGGTATGATTTAAGGTATAGAAATGGATATTTGTAAGGGTATAACATAACATAACATATTGATCTCGGCGCTGAAGTGTAGGCCTGATGTGGCCTGTCGCCGATTCTTTTCCTTTTCGTGACTTGTTCACAGAAAATCTAATGTCGTTTCTTTTGACCGGATCTTTTCATGACTGACGATAGTTTGAAGTAGCTACTAGACTTCCACCGGGTTCGATATGGTGCTAAGCATTTCAAATTTGGACATATATTTTTCCATAGCTTTATCTAGTCTGTTCTTGAACGCGTTCATACTTGGAGCGCCAACGACGTCATTGGGGAGGCTGTTCCACATGTCGGTGATTCGAAGCGGGAAGAAATTTTGCCGCGGGGAGAAGTTGCAGCGCAGTTTTTTTTTAGTTTATAGCCGTGGCCCCTGGTGTTGGTTCTTGTTTCAAATTCTAGTTATCCTTCAGGGACCTTGTATAGACCATGAGTATACTTGTATACTTCAATGAGGTCCCCACGCAGACGTCGATAACTGAGGCTTGTAAGCTTCATAATCTTCAATCTTTCTTTCTTCATAGGACTTGCCCTTCAAGCCTGGAATTATCCTTGTTGCACGTCTTTGAACATTCTCTATTAAATTTCTGTCCTTTTCAAATCTCGGTGTCCACACAACGTTTCCAAACTCTAGATTCGGGCGCACGACAGCAACAAACAACTGCTTCATCGCTTCTGCATCTAGGATGGGTATATGATATGGTTTAAGGTATAGACGTGGGTATTGGATGCACACAGGGTGTATTATGAAAGTAATAAGTATTTTCTGGCAAAAAACATTTATTGATCGTAATTTGTACAAATGTTCAATATTCTTCAAAATACATTCTTCCTGCATCAGTACACTTGCGGAGACGTGCTCGCCACGCCTGAAAGGCACCCTGAAACTCCTCGACGGGAATGCCTCTCAATAACGTTGTAACATGGTGTTGGATATGGAAAAAGGCTGAGTTTACAGTTTGTCCTTGTGGTATACAAACTCACAATGGACTATTCATCGGATGTCAAAGAAGACAATGATCATTGTTTTGATCGCAAAACTTCGCGCACACGATCCACGTTCTCTTCAGTTCGGGTTGTTGTTGGGCGTCCAGAACGGGGTTCGTCGGCGACCTCCTCCCGGCCCTCCTTGAACGCCTTGTGCCACTTCCCAGATTGTGATTTTGAAATGCAGTCGTCCTTGAAGGCTTCTTGCAGCATCTGGAATGTTTCGGTTGCATTTCTTTCAAGCCTTACGCAGAACTTTATGGCGTATCGTTGTTCCAGCGAACGCTCCATCGCGCTATTTTACAATAGTCGAAAATACACTTTACGATGAGGCTCGTTTCTCCGCTCATACTGGTCAAACTCAACTGAGGACCGGATGCACATTCCCCAGCCGGTTTGACCGCGCTGCCATCTGTCGTCGCGTCACAATAACATCATGCTTATTACTTTCATAATGGACTCTGTAGGTATCGATATTAGTATAAGTATGGGTATAGAAAAGGGTATTTGTATGGGTATGGGCATGTAGCCTAGCTCTGAGCTGCTCCCTATATGCGCAGGTCGCATACGCGGACGACGTGGCGGTGGCAGAGGAGGAACCGCCGCCCCCGCCGCCCGGGTTCACAGTGCGCATCGTGTCTGAGGTGCCCCCCGCCCAGGTGAGGTGCCCCCCGCCCAGTTGAGGTGCCCCCCGCCCAGGTGAGGTGCCCCCCGCTCATTATGCGTTGTATAATAATGTAGAATTTTATAGTAAAGTAACTACCGTGACTGGAAATTTTTCTATTAAATTTCTGTCCTTTTCAAATCTCGGTGTCCACACAACGTTTCCAAACTCTAGATTCGGGCGCACGACAGCAACAAACAACTGCTTCATCGCTTCTGCATCTAGGATGGGTATATGATATGGTTTAAGGTATAGACGTGGGTATTGGATGCACACAGGGTGTATTATGAAAGTAATAAGTATTTTCTGGCAAAAAACATTTATTGATCGTAATTTGTACAAATGTTCAATATTCTTCAAAATACATTCTTCCTGCATCAGTACACTTGCGGAGACGTGCTCGCCAGGCCTGAAAGGCACCCTGAAACTCCTCGACGGGAATGCCTCTCAATAACGTTGTAACATGGTGTTGGATGTGGAAAAAGGCTGAGTTTACAGTTTGTCCTTGTGGTATACAAACTCACAATGGACTATTCATCGGATGTCAAAGAAGACAATGATCATTGTTTTGATCGCAAAACTTCGCGCACACGATCCACGTTCTCTTCAGTTCGGGTTGTTGTTGGGCGTCCAGAACGGGGTTCGTCGGCGACCTCCTCCCGGCCCTCCTTGAACGCCTTGTGCCACTTCCCAGATTGTGATTTTGAAATGCAGTCGTCCTTGAAGGCTTCTTGCAGCATCTGGAATGTTTCGGTTGCATTTCTTCGAAGCCTTACGCAGAACTTTATGGCGTATCGTTGTTCCAGCGAACGCTCCATCGCGCTATTTTACAATAGTCGAAAATACACTTTACGATGAGGCTCGTTTCTCCGCTCATACTGGTCAAACTCAACTGAGGACCGGATGCACATTCCCCAGCCGGTTTGACCGCGCTGCCATCTGTCGTCGCGTCACAATAACATCATGCTTATTACTTTCATAATGGACTCTGTAGGTATCGATATTAGTATAAGTATGGGTATAGAAAAGGGTATTTGTATGGGTATGGGCATGTAGCCTAGCTCTGAGCTGCTCCCTATATGCGCAGGTCGCATACGCGGACGACGTGGCGGTGGCAGAGGAGGAACCGCCGCCCCCGCCGCCCGGGTTCACAGTGCGCATCGTGTCTGAGGTGCCCCCCGCCCAGGTGAGGTGCCCCCCGCCCAGTTGAGGTGCCCCCCGCCCAGGTGAGGTGCCCCCCGCTCATTATGCGTTGTATAATAATGTAGAATTTTATAGTAAAGTAACTACCGTGACTGGAAATTTTTTTATTCCCGTAATCTTTTTAAATGGAGCTTATGAAAAAATTTTCAGAACATTTTGGTTAATTCGCATTTTTTTGTGTTTATGGGGCAATAAAAATGAGTTTAATGTACTTCGTTATTATTTAATTACTTTTATTCCGACGCATTTTCTCATGAAAACATACCGTGTCAAATTGCTTTATTTTTATTTTTATAACAAATTTCCTTATTTTCACGAAAACAATAATGATTGGATTTTTGTTGGGCAGGAAATGCGGACAGAAATTCCGGACTTGGACGGAGAAGACGAGTCCGAAGAAGTGATCTTAAATCCTGCCAAACTGCGGAAAACTTAACCTCTTGTGTGACTTATCTTGTACAGAATTCCATTATCTTAGCTTTAGTTGATCTAAAGTATTGTACAAAACTCTGCAGCTTATCACATTTTTTATGCGCATAGTTTGTGAACTATCTACGTATTTCCGAGATTTAGGACCAATATTGACACTGTACAAGGATCTGTACAAGGCTTGTGTATTGATATTATATATATAATTTAATATAATTATAATTGATATAATTTAATATAAATTTAATATAATTTAATTATTAGAAAATATCACAATTGGTCATTTTTAGGAACCTCTTTTTTATCTGCCTTTATTTATTAATCAAAGTGTTGCGTGAAAAGTTTAAACTCACTTTTTTATCATTTTTACCTATTATAAGGGATATCCATTCAATTGTTTGTTCAAAGTTAAAAGTTTTGTAAAAAGGATGGAATTTTGGATAACCCTAATGATTGAAGAACATTTTCACGCGTGTGTACGTTGAAAAGTGAAAAAATTAAAAAGTATTTCAGGATTAGAAGAAGAATGAGATTATATGTACCTTTGAATCTGAAGTGATGAAAGTGCGTTCTGTGAACGTGTATGTTAATCAAATTGTATTATATATACAATTAATTGTCACCAGTAACTAATTATATCAATTATTAAGTTCATATTATATAAATAATTGCGATTAGAAAAGAATAGTTTTTGATGTCGGCGGCAACCAAAAGGAAAATTGTCAGCCGAATTAAAGTGGCCCAATGTTTTTAATAAAAAAATTTGCACAGGACACAAAAACATTTACGAACTTTGAAGTTGGATTTTAATAAGCAAATATAATGATTGAATTTATAGTTTGCCGTGCAGGAAAGACATCAATAATTACAACGTATTCATAAACATCAACGTTTATGAAATAACGTGATATATCATCACGTTATTTCATGATTCAATTCTTGATTGAAAAAGTTGATAAAAACTCACGACATTTTCGAAAAAAAAATAATCAGCCAGATTTTAGAGCCAATAACTTATATTGAATTAACAATAAAATTAATAGAATAAACTTAAGTGAATTACAGTATTGAAGTCAAATGAAATGACAAATACTTGTAAAATGAAAGTATATGTGTTAGCTCGCTGTGCTCCGCCGCCTCTGCATTCCGCGTGAAGATGTATTCATGGTGAAGCAATTCATCGTGAAGCAATTCATCGTGAAGCAATTCATCGTGAAGAAATTCATCGTGAAGCAATTCACCGTGAAGCAATTCATCGTGAAACAATTCATCGTGAAGCAATTCATCGTGAAGCAATTCATCGTGAAGCAATTCATCGTGAAGCAATTCATCGGGAAGCAATTCATCGTGGAGCAATTCATCGTGAAGCAATTCCTCGCGAAACAGATCTTCGTGAAGCTATTCATCGTGAAGCAATTCATCAAGAAGCAATTCATCGGGAAACAATTCATCGTGAAGCAATGCATTCTGTTGAATATCGCGTTTCGCTAATCTTAAAAATGGGCATCGTTATCAGTATAGATTATTCATACACAATTCATTCCAGGGCGGCATGATGTTTAAAGGTTGCCGTGATCTGATTAATTTTGCCAGATATAAAACAATTTTCTTCGCACCTCCTTTATGTCGGTTATCTATGGAAGGTAGTATTTACTTTCTAATTAATGAATTAGTATTTTCGTTTATTAGTAGCTTTGTATCGTATTTTTACCGATTGTAATATTCGTTGAAGGATCGGCTGCTGCCGAATTTATGCATTTTCATGAATGAATTACGGCATGTAGCTTCAATGGCTAATGTCTTAACAAAATGGAGGTTTAATTTTAAAATTATAATAAATAAATAAAAATTAACAGAGTGCAGCACTATTATGTAAATACTTTTCTTTTTCTATTTTACTTGTAATCAAAAAATTTCTACCTTAAAACACGAATTTTTTTCAATTGTTCTTACGAGTGCTGCTCTCTGAACAATTAATGGGTCTATTCGTCCAAAACTAGTACGAACATCGCACAAATACGACCTTTTGCAGAGCAGAGCTACACTGAGTCAGTATGACCCACACAAGGGCAATATTTGGAAAAGCCTCACTCATTTCCCTGAGAGAGAAATATATTGGGCCTTAGTTTACCGAGCGAATGCAAGTTAGGAATTACAGAGCAAAAATTATGGTCTATTTAAAATATTATCTTATTCAAAAAGATTACATTAATTCATGTGTGGATTGATTTACAATTAATTTAATTGATTAATTACTTACGTTATATTAAAAATAGAATATTATCGAAATTATTGAGTATAAACGAATTTTCACGAACATATTTGATATTATGGTAGACGTTTCAAAAATAATTTAACATGCACATAATGAAATACTATGCAGCCCCCATTGCTCTATATAAATTGAAATAAATAAATAAATAATAAGCAGCCTTGAGGGCAACCTCAACTACTTAATAATATTATAATAGAGAACGCTATGAATAAGTGCCATGTAAATTTTTCATTTCACCGCCCAAGGAACTGACAACTCTGGTAGGAATAGCATTACAACTGATGGACCTGTCGGTTACTTCGGGCAGTGAAAGGTTGGTTTACAATTAATTAAGGATTGCGTTCTATAACGTAGCGATTATGATATTTATTATCTCTTGTACGTTGCTATCCTGGTAAGAATAGCATTAGGGATACGCTAATGAGTCAAATCAGAGACTCTGTATTATTATACGTTATTATAACACGGGCAAGTAGAGAGATGAGTGAGTCAGGGTGACTCACATGTTTGAGGCTAGCGAGTATGTAGAAGTTGATCTTCTTTTCTGTTTTCGTTCCGTGGCTAACATATAAACTTTTACATTATACCTCGAGCTTGTCTGGCTCCATGAAGCGTCGGGTTATTATTGGAAAAATTCCTCATCATCCCAACCCTCACATTCCTCGTCATCCCACTCTCCCTGTTCAGCTTTTGCTCAGAACATGGGCTAATATGGATGTCCGTTTAAATATGTACTATGATCAGTTTGAAATACTTATGTATGGGTGAACATTTGCATTGCTTATTAAATTAAAACATTCTATTTCAAATACAACGAATTTTATGACGAGCAAGAAGTATTTTTTGTCAGTAAAGACGTATTGTATGTGAACTAAAACATACTATTCGCCTCGAACACTAAGATCAATATTTTATGTTGAGAGTTTGAATATCTTAATTTATTAATAGTTTGTTAAAAGATTTGTCTCGATTTAGGCGAGTTTATCGCTTGGTTAGGCGTATAAACATGTTTTTACATTGATCTAATTTCGCTAATGATAATACTGTTCTTTTTATAAAGTATTAATAAAGTTTTAAGTAGCCGCGTATAGGCAACAAGTATTAATATATTAGCTATAATATTTAATGGCTATGTATCGCTTAAGTTATAGAGGTTTAACTTTCTGCGATTTAAACCTGTCGGATTCTAATACCAGTTCTGATATTTTCATATCAGTTGAATTCTGATATGAATTTATATTAGTTTAAAGTTATCTAATTTTATCATTGTCATGTGTTATAGGTAAAATAATGCATTTGATTTCTACTAAACACAAAATATTATATTACATCCCAGTAACCGCGAACGTGAACGAAAATTGGTTCTTAACAAATTTTCATTTTTGAATAATTTAACGTGCATAAAAAATGATCTACATAGCAATGATTTGGACGCCTCATGACTTTTTTTAAACGACGTAATATTTGTAATGTAAGGAAGTTTTGAACGTGTGGGAACATTTTTGATTTAATCACTGAATTTTTTATAGCACCTGCTTGTACATATAATCTTTCATATGTGATAACCAAGTAAATTTTTTTTTAAATATATTCACCCGTTTCCAAAGGGCAACGTCTTTTGATGTTAAAACTATTAAGTGAATAAAACTTACTGACTACGTTTCGTCTTTCCAAATCAATTCCAACGAGTAAGTAACGACGTCGTGCGTTCCAATTCTGCTTTCAAATAAACTTTATTTACTATCGTAAAATAGTGACATTATTAATTTAATTTTCCATGATGACGAATATGACAAATGAAAATGTTACTCTACATTTTTCTACTCAAGAAACAGGAAGAAAGTTTAAATGCGTCTGAAATCATCCGGTATATTAAATAATCGAATAAGTAAAATGAATGGAAATAGATAGCTGCTTTGGACTGACATTCATACTACAATATATGCTAAACGTAGATAATAGCTTTATTCACTTCTCAATCGGCTATCTGAAGTTGAATTCTGGACTCACATCGTTGATAAAGAAGTTGATACGAACGATTTAATGTAGGTACCCCACTGCGCATTATTTTCGAACGTCAGAACAAATAAGTTCCCACCGCGAACCTTACAAAACGTGATATTCCATTCAAAGAATAGTCCCTAAACTCACGACGACTTCGGTAGTAACGAGGTTACTTGGTAGCTCACAAAGGCAACTTTGCATGCCAAAAACAAAAGCCTGTAATTGGGAGGGTGGCAGAGTCGAACCCTTCGTCCGCACTTGGCTTTTCCGGCGCCGAAACGCTCGAGGCAATCCGCACATCCGCTCAGTAGCCCATCGTCTTGTCGTCTGTTGCCCATAGTGTGTACGGTTTGAAAGTTAGATTTACGTTTCCTGTACAGCGTTTATCTTGCCTTGAATATTCTAACGAAATTTCTGACTTATTAATTCTTACCATGCATTTTCATATCGTCGACGCCATCGATGGATTTTTATGTTAGGTAGGAATATTACTACGTGTAGAGATTGTGTCTCGTCTCGCTGCATTCGGGCAAGTCGTGCGAAGTGCGTACTGCGTATCTGCGACTGCGACTGCGTTAGTCGCGCGCTGGTGTCACGAGTGAGAGGTTATGTCGTGGGCGGGGCGCCTAATGCTACGCGTTTTCTGTGAGCTTGTAGTGATGCAAACCTGATTAAAGGTACCGCGAAAATTGCGAGTTGTGGTTTTAAAGATCTTGAGACGACCAGTGAAGAGATTTTTGTCAGAGTTTGTGTTAATCGACTCTCATCTTTTAAAAAGTCGAACATAACCTAAATTATTTGAACCATCAGTGTCGAAAAGACAGAATTGATGTTAAACTGACATCACCGCGAAGTGGAAACTGTTTACCAATCGCCGTGCATTACGAAGTTACAATGTGAATAAATCAATAATGGTGATAATAGCTCGTTGTTATTGCTTTAATTATCACGAAGAAGGAAAACTACTCACCATTTAGCTAGTTCTTTGGTAATGAAGTGTCTACTAACCTAGCTACGATAGTTCTTTCTCTACTCCTGCGAAGTGTTTAATAAAGTATAAACTAATAATCAAGTACTAAACTGTACTACTCATGCTAATAATAGTGATCTCTCCAGTCTCCACCAAACTATTTAGATGGAAAATACTACCTAGTGAATGAAAGGAAACCATGAATGATCTATGACTAAATTAAATTAAATTAATTATTTAAATTAAATTGAATTAAATATTTATTCCACGCTTCGACAAGAAGATCCATCATCTGAACTTTTACTGTCTTACTTACTTTAATTTTTTTAGCGTGTTAGTGTCACTTCAATTCTACTCTTAATAGATGTAGAGTGTTCGTAGAATAACATAGTTCTTTTGAAAAAAAATTACGAATGTGACACGTTACATTCACATATCTCAGTTGATAGCATAATTCTTTATTGTAAAGTTGCTTGAAATGTGGTAGGGAGGCGGAACCCTGAATGTCTCGCCGAATCGGAGCGCCCACAGCTCAGGCTCAGCGCCGCCCTGGGTACGTCAACTCATGTACTTTGTACATATGAATAATATAAATATATCAATACATATTACAGTACATAACATGACTGTGTTACGTATATAGATACTAACCCAATGACAGGGCGGAATGCTAGGAACAGTGGTTCACATATTCAAGAACAACCTAATCAGGTAACTTAACAAGCTTCAAATTATTAGCTGCATAATAAAATTGAAAGTTTCGGGTCCTTCAATCCAAGTTGATCCATGCACTTGATAGTTGCTTATATATTACCCCGTTTACCCCTCCTAAATTCTACCCTGCCGCAATGACAGTTGTTTCTGATTAATAATTTAACTTGTTATCACCTATTATGCGTTTATATTTGTTGATCATGTGTAGCAAAGTTTCTTTCTTTTTTTTATATTTTTGAGGTGAAAAATCTAAGCGTTTCGTGTACTAAAATGACTTATCCAGGAGGTTAGGTTTTTACTAACAACGCTAGTGGTTAGGTTAATTCTAACCAGCAAGACGCTAGTAGCCCGGTTAATTCTTACTAGCAAGACGCTAGTAGCCCGGTTAATTCTTACCAGCAAGACGCTAGTACCCATGTTAGTTCTAACGAGCATGACGCTATAGTGACTAGTAGGTTAGTTTTTAGTGAGAAAATTCATAGTTATTCCCGTCATAAACTGTACGATCACAAGTGAAGTTTTTTGAGTTGGTGGGCAGTGTATATACGACGATTGTATTTCGCGAACTACGCGGTATTCACGCGGTTAAATAATTTCAAAATCCTTACCAACGTACGTTATCGTGAAGTTGTCGGGTAGCCATTACCCGATATTATTGGTCTTTTTATGTCTAATGTTTTTATGGTGAGTGTTCAGAGAACTCAACTTCTGGCTTTAACTTGCTGGATTTCTGAAAAGATCAATAATTACATTCAATATACAATTGCAAACATTCGTCGCCTCTTCTAAAATTAGACGTTAACTTCAACTCGAACTCACATTCCACTTAATTCCTGATCCCTATTTCCAAATTCCTTATTTCCTCAGCAACTTTCGTTTAATTACTCAGGACTCTCGTTCCTCATTTCTCGCTGAGTAATTATTCGACTGATGGAGAAGGCAAGTTCCGACCCTAAGCCCTATTTAGCCGTCAACCCAAGCCTCTTACCTGCCGCATTCTTTCCTCTTTCAGCCTCTTTCTTCTCTGGTTCTTCGAAATTTTTTTGTCTTTCGGAAGCATTTTGAGTTTGTGGAAGAGGCGTGACGAGTTTGCGCCTTTGTTTTGTACTTCTGGCGAGTGAAGAGCATGACTGGGTGGGCAGCAGTCGAGACCAATCATGACTGGATGGGCAGCAGTCGAGACCAAGCATGACTGGGTGGGCAGAATAAGCATGACTGGGTGGGCAGCAGTCGAGACCAAGCATGACTGGGTGGGCAGCAGTCGAGACCAAGCATGACAGGGTGGGCAGTATACCTGAGAAACTTGGACAATTGAATAACACAGCTTTGTGAAAAATAAAAATTGTGGCTAACACGAGCATTATAACTTAGAATAATTACGAGTATGTTTGGATAATTACGAGTGTGTATAATTACATTGGATAATTACGAGTATTTAATCTTTAAATATTCATATTAATAAAATTCAAATTCTTACGACGAGCTGACAAGCTTTTAATGGATTGTTTTAACACAACCGGTTTAACGCTATGTGGGATAATTAACGAGCTCAGCAAAAAAAAATATATTCAATTGAAAAATATATTCAATTCATGTTCAGTAATCTCATAAAAACTATTGTTAGGGTAATTTTCCCACAAACATATTATACAATGAAATATTCTTGGAATCAGCATGCGAAAAATGTTCATATTAAAAATAGTAATAAGATATTTTTAAAAGATTGTTCGCCAAAAGTTCATTTACGAAGTGTCGGAAGATGTAAAAGAAATGAAAAATTTTGTAGATGACCGTTACGTATATATTGATTGCGACACGTATATTGCGAGAGGAATAAATATTCAATGTACAACAAATATAATAATATAAGTTAGCATTAGTTACTTGATCGAGAGTAACTCAACGAGCGTCAGAAGTAGCTTCGTTGGTGAACCTAATGTGAGAACCAAGGCAACGCTGGAATAAAAAGATATACGGTATTATAGGATATCTGCGGCAAGTAAAGTTTGAGATAGTATATTAATTTTGTCCGACAATCGAAAAGAGTAAATTGCAACTCGTCTTGAACGAACCTTTTGCTTTGAACTGAAAACAGCAGCGAAACTTAGTTTCTCATCTAGCAGCCTTACTGAATGAGCTTGCTCAGCCAACTGCCAATTCTTCAGCTATACATATTTTCCTTCAAAAACCTTCCTTCCAAATCTCCACTATCCAAATATTCCGCTAAGACTGATACATGGAAAGCGCTCTACTATAAGAAGATACGCTTTACTATAAGAAAATTCCGCCTAAGAAGCGCTTTACTATATAGCTTCTTCAAATTTCGTAACTCGGAATGCCAGCACCTAATGAGAGACTGCAACGCGTCATCAGGAGTGATCCGCTCTGCCGGATGTTGCGTTGTAGCGTCACACCCTTGACTCTTGTTATTAAAAACTGACCGTTGAATCATAGCCTCTGTTTATATTTTTGATATAATTCACTATTTTTAATGTATTCTTGATGGTTTTAAGCTTCTTAAATAAGATTAAATGTAATTTTTTTGATGGATATTCTATACTTTTGGAATATTTAAGTATTTCTTGACGTTTTAAGTGCTATTAGTTTCAACACAGGAAAACTCAGTTACTCATTTTATTCGTGTTGCTGATATCAGAATAATACTTTATGTTATAAGAGCTATTGGATGCAATATTTCCTTCCTGATATTTTAAATGCAATTCTTTTGACCACAGGCAAACATGCTGAAGCACGCCAGTCCGCTAAGGTTTCCTTCAACTCGCAGCTCATCCACACGCTCCTCGCACGCCTCGTCTCCGCGCTTCGGCTGCTTCAACAGTCAAGTCGATCTCTCCTGCTGTTCAATTGACGGCCTTTCTCCTGGAGCCGAAAAATTGACGATTTTGGAAGATAAATTGCGTCTCCAAAGTAGAATTTCTAAAATTTCCGATACGCATTTAAAGATCTGGAATCACTCGGTCACAGATCTCACATCATTGTCGATTGCTAGCGACACTGATACAAATCCCTCTGGAGCGTCAAAAAACCGTATATCTGTATCGAAAATTTCCGTAGATTCGGTCCTGAACCGTAAAAATTCCGATAATAACAATCAACGGGAAGAACAGTTAGGTACGGTGAGTATGAGTCCACAATCCACTCAGGTTTCAACAAGCGATAAGTTTAATGAGCGCGGAGTGGACTGCGAGGGACTGACTCCTTCTCCGAAAAGGGCTTTGTTGGGCCAATCGATGGAGGCCCCACCGACCTGCACAGGCTGGGGCATCGGCCCCGTCATCACCCACGGACGGGCCATCGTGCGACGTGGCTTGTCGTTTACACTCAGGAGAGAACCTGACGTTAATTCCATCAGGTCCGTCAAAAGCGAAGGACAAGTTCCGTCTTCTTCAAAAAACATGATAACCGAACCAATTTTGCCAAGTGAACTCAAGAAAGCGAATCCGAAAGAGTTAAAACCTTTCACACAACTTTTGTCCTCGAAAGAGAAGAAGGAAATTCCTGCCAAACATAGTTATCCATCTGAAACCAATTTGAATATGGCTCCAAAACTTGCGTCAGAGACTTCAGTTTTACCGAACCATGCGGACTCACAGTACGGCTTCCACGAACTCAGGAGGACCATGGACTCGTCTGACCCTCTCAGATCGCTGCTTCAGCTTCCTGGCATTCACGCCGAAGTTCGGCTTCCCGACACCGCCGTGACATCGTCGCCGACGATCTTAAATCCCGACACGATGAGCCTCACGTCGGCCGACAGCCTCGCCACGTCGAGCAGCGGTCGCACATCGTCGCGGTCTTGGGGCTCGTCAGCTGCAGCCTCCACGTCGTCCAACTCCTCCAGCAACAGCGGCTCAGAAATCACTTCTGTGAGTATAATTTCCATGCAAGTACCTTCACAATTTCATTTACTTTGCTTTTCTTGCCTCATATAAACGGCAGCATTTCCTAAAAACTAGAAAATGCCTTCATTGAGCCTGCAAATTTCATGCAATATCAATATTTTTTTCACCATATGCCTAAAAGTTTTATCTGGAACTCGAAGATATTCTTGGCCAGCTAGTAGGTCGGTCTTATTTAATCGTGACCAGGGTGATTCGGATTAAAGTCTAGTGGCCACAGCGCGTCTTAATTGTATCAAAATTTTAAATTTTTAGTCGAAAAACTGATTTCTAGAATATGCAGAACTGATCTGTCATAAGTCATGCATTTCGTGTTGAAATGCTACAGTGAATATTGAAATTATCCACCCTTATTTTTATGCTTAGCACTTCCATCAAAAATGCGAAACCGTTTGCAAATTCTGTCATGGGTGGGAGGAAGGCGGTTTGCTAAGGCGATTGTGTGGCCAGAAAGGCTTACAATGAAGTCCAGGGAACGCCGCCCACCTCGCTAATGAAGCGCACACAAAACTATACACAATACACAGAACAACTCATTGTATACTTGGCGCCGTCGCCCTTCCTGTGTGAAGCTTTGAATTTTCTGCAGCGTGACGTGCGTCGTAGTTACACATGAGTGAGACGTCCTGAGCGCTTACACAACTGAGGTGATTATCTGTGTGGTCATCCCGCTGTGTGACGTCAGCTGTGTGATGACCTGTGTAGTCACCTTGCTGTGTGATGTCAGCTGTGTGATGACCTGTGTAGTCACCACGCTGTGTGCAAAGCTCTTCGTTCGTGAACGCTCCTCATAATAGCGTGCCTTCACTTCGTATTATCTATGTATTATCTATCTTCTTATTATTTATCTGCAGGTCAGACGTCGTATTTAAGTCAATCTTGCATTTGAATATTTCTTCATTAATATTCAGCCATATTGCGTTCAGTGATCTTCGTTCAATGACAGAATATGATCATTATATTTATTATTTATATGTTAATATTATTATTTCCTTAATTGGCATTATAATGAATTATTCCAAATGTAGAGATACAGGTAGATATATATTTTGCTTTACAACATGTTTCACCAGAGATGCTTTTTATACATTATTTTACATGTTCCCTAAATTTGTATATCCTATTTCAATAAGTCGTAGGCATATTAAGTTATTAACGTAATTTTCTCGGCTCCGTTTCTCCAATTTATTATATAAAATGACCAAGTGACGTATGTGTGGGTGAATTCAACTTCTACAACTGACGATAATCTTAATTTGCTATGAAGTTAAAATTAATTCTCAAATTATGACTTTATTTTGCTAACAATTCAAACATCGGTCGATCTCGTCTTTCATGACTTGTTAAACATGAACATTTAATTAAGTTGCTATCTAAACTTTTATTTGAGCCCGCCTAGATATAATCAAGGAAACTTTTCCCTCTTTTTTTTAATATAGTTTCCTTTGAAATTTCTATAAACGTCGAATTCCTACCGATACATCAGTCCTTAAACTAACGGCGAACCGTGCCAAAATGCGTGAATGTCTGAAATTAGGTGCTTTGGTTTGATGTGAAGCTTCTTTTAATTAGATCGAGATTTGGTATTGTTTTTAATAGCACTTCCTTCACTTTTAACGATAAAGATTTCGTTTCTTTCCACGACCAAAATACTCCGATAGCAAAATACTCCGATAGCCACGATCGCAGTTTTTTCACCACCATACAAACCAGCAGCGATGACAGCAAGGGGAACTGCTAGATTTGAAGCCATTGCAGCCACCATGTCTGTTGCAGCAATAGTGCTTGCTGAATCGATGTGCAGCAATAGTGAAATACGTGAATGAATGAAAGTAATAGCGGATTTAGCCATCATTCGAGCCAGCGAAGCATGCCTTAGGTAATAATAGATAGCTATAGCAACAATATAGTTATACAATATAACAGCTGCAGCATCTCCGCTACTATGATAATAACAAATCTATTAAATCTATTAAATAGCTATTCATCGGCATTAATTAAATATAGGAAGAGCAACGGTGATGTATTGAACTTTTTTTCTATACATTGAGAAGCCGCAGATTTATTACGATAAAACATTTGCAACCACATACGTAACAAACATGTATGGTTCAAGTTAAGTTATTATTAATGTAATAAAATGAAGAGCAGCTAAATTGATAGACCGCAATTTTAAATGATGTAATAGCACCTATAAGATAACAATGGTGAGTACAGCATCATTACCTATAGTGAGATAACTAGCCACAGCGGCACCAGCATGACTCACCTACGCGACGCAGCAGCACCAGCATGACTCACCTACGCGACGCAGCAGCACCAGCATGACTCACCTACCCGACGCACTCGTGTATGACCAGGACGACTGAACCGAATCCCTCGCCTCTGCCTGTACGAGCGCAGCCAAGCTCTGATAAAATAGTTAAATTAGTGAATGCATGTGCAATGAATGTAATCATTTAACACGATTAAACACATTTCCGAAATTATTAGTCTTGTTTATATTTCTGTTTTAAGTTTAGGTTGAAGGTTTTTATTTCGTGTAACGTGAGTTGAGTTGAGCTTAAACGCCACGACGCATGACGCTGCGTCACTTCCTTCTTGTGACGTCACACGCTCTGGGACTTCCAGCTCTTGGTACAGAGACGTGTACCTCTTGGTACAGAGACGTGCACCTCATGTTACAGAGACGTGTACCTCTGGTACAGAGACGTGTACCTCTTGGTCCAGAGACGTGCACCTCCTAGTACAGAGACGTGCACCTCCTGGTACAGAGACGTTTACTCCTGGTACAGAGACGTGTACCTCCTCGTACAGAGACGTGTACCTCCAGGTACAGAGACGTGCACCTCCTGGTACAGAGACGTGTACCTCCTGGTACAGAGACATGTACCTCCTGGTTCAGAGACATGTACCTCCTGGTACAGAGACGTGTACCTCCTGGTACAGAGACATGTACCTCCTGGTACAGAGACGTGTACCTCCTGGTACAGAGACATGTTCCCTCTGGTATAGAGACGTGTATCTACTGGTACAGAGGCATGTACCTCCTGGTACAGCGACATGTACCTCCTGGTACAGAGACGTGTACCTCCTGATAAAGAGACGTGTACCTCCTGGTACAGAGACGTGTACCCTCTGGCAGTACCAGAGACGTTCATATCTCGGTACAGAGACTTGTGAGACCCTGCATCTCGATGTAGAGACAGGAATCGAGAAAGAGTAAGAGTCGATCTACGCAGCACCTCTAGAGACTCGGCTGCATGAGCAGCCGTCGAAATTTGTTGAATGTTGAAATGTTATTGTGTTGTAATGTTACATTATTGAAACAATTATTCAGAAATGTTGAATAATTGTTTCAATGGCGCTATTTTAACAGTGTGACTTTGAGGATCATTTTTTAAGCTGTTGAAATTTTTGTACGTCAGTTTTCTTGGAAGAGAAGAAGGCTACGATGTCGAAAAGCTTTCATGCGACAACCGCGGGATATTTAGTTTGAGTGATGAGGGAGTGAGTTTTTAGTTTCGTGACGCAGGCTGGGAGTGATGAGAGAGGCAGTTTCGTGACGCAGGCTGGGAGTGATGAGGGAGCCAGTTTCGTGACGCAGGCTGGGAGTGATGAGGGAGGCAGTTTCGTGACGCAGGCTGGGAGTGATGAGGGAGGCAGTTTCGTGATGCAGTACTCACGCTTTCTCTCAATCAAGCGGCAACGAATCCAGAGAAATTTCGCGTCGAGTTTTAAATTCAATTTCAGTCAAATTCTATTCACAGTAATTTCGTAAAGGTTGTTTCTTACTCGGCACGGAATTCAATTGGACTTTTGCCAAATTGACTTCTCACCAATGATTTTCAGCAACGAAATCGGTATTCAAATTGAAGTGAAGTGTGCGTTTTTTATTTATGTGTGTTTTAACAAATGAACTGGTAACATTATTGCTGTAGTTGGGTGACCGCATAATTATCCAGTGATCAGCCATGCAGCCAGTGATTGGATTCATGCATTTAATTTGAAAGCGAATTACTGTAAATGGTCGCTGATGTACGTAATTTGTTGCACAGCCTTGACCTGATCGACTACTGACATGTCGGTCCATGCGCGGCTGTGCTGCTCTACTGAGCTTAGTGAGCGTGACTAGGCTGCGTCCTGTGCACAGCTGCACAGCAGTGTTGTTAGCTCCCTAGCACAGCTGCACAGCAGTGTTGTTAGCTCCCTAGCACAGCTGCACAGGAGTGTTGTTAGCTCCCTTACAGGAGTGTTGTTGGCTCCCTAGCACAGCTGCACAGGAGTGTTGTTAGCTCCCTAGCACAGCTCAAGAGTTCGTGGTAAGATGTGTTCAGTTTAGCAACGCAAATAGTGCGGCCGAACTTCGCACAACAAAGTTATTATGTTGCTTCTTAAATAGAACTTGCCTTACATTAGTTTAAGCAATGATTTTTTTAAAATTTTCATTTATTTGATTGCAGCGAATTTGTAATAAAATTTTGATTATTGTATATTTAACAAGCATTAGAACGTCTTTCGCTGTCAGCAGTCTGGGTTAAGCGTTGCGACTCGGTGAGCTCATTAATTGGGACCAACTGCGATGGTTTGAGATCTTACGATGACGTAAACTTCAATGATTACGAACTTTGGACCATTTGTTCAGACCACGACAATCGTCTGACCCCGAGCGTACAATATCAGCAAGTATAGTACAGCGTGCAATGTTCACACCATGACACTCAGCGCGACTATCACTATTTTTACCTCATGTTTAGTTTTTTGTTCCGCATGTTTTGGCGCGGATGTTCCGGCTTCCGGGGATTGTTCCGCGGTGTTTTGCGCTCCTCATTTACAACGCTCGTTGCTACGCGGTTACTGGGGGCGACGCCCAAACTGTTGTGTGTCTGTGGGCGACGAGTGGGTGGTGGGTGACGAGTGGGCGGTGGGTGACGAGTGGGCGGTGGGTGACGAGTGGTCGGTGGGTG